AGATCGGATCAAGATCGAAGAGGATCATACCAAAGAAGATCATGACAGGGACTCCAATATATGAGCCGAAAATTAAAACGGAAAGGATGACAGAAACCATGGCAATATCCGAGTTTCTCGATAGTTTCGAGTAATTGAGTTGGGAATGTATTTTGAACTCTGTAAATTAAATTTGTACAATTTTTTTAAGTTTGTTTTGTCCAAAAATATGGTAAGAAAAGCAATTTATGTATGTAGGGCAGCTTAATCAGGATTGTAACGGCGCGTTTATTCCTCAATCGTTTACAAATCGCATCCACGTTGTAATTTAACTACGACGCAATTTGCGAACAAGTGACCTAACGCGCGCCTAAAGATATAGTCCTTATACGTGCAAACGTTGTAGGAGCAAAAACCATATAATAAACTACCTTGTTATTGAAAAAGCTAACACTTCGTGAGAGTTCTGTTTATCACATGACTCCCAAAAATGACTCACAATGTAAGTGTTACTCGTGCAAAACTTCCATCTTGATGGTACCAATTTTAATTTGCTGACCCCAAAAAATAAGCAGATCAGTATTTTATTATTTTTTCTTGGTTTTTGTCATAATGCTCGTAGTAAAGCGTGTGGCTGCAATTTGAAATATTTTTCTATGCAAAACATGTTCTGTTCAAACCGCTTTAACGTTTTGAATCTTACAGGGAATTCAATGATATCGAAACAAATTTGCCCAGAATGGCTCTCGGTATTTTTTGAAAATACGTTTTCATAATTTAAGAAAAATTGACTTTTTTATTTGTTTTCGAATTTTGAAAATTTCAAAAACACTATTTATAAGATTTGACATTTTCAACAAATTATGAAAACGTATTTTTATAACAGACAAGAAGCAATTCTGAACACACAGGTGTTTTCATTTTTGAATTCCCACCAAAATTCAAAAAGTTAGAGAGATTTAAATACCCTATGTTTTGCATGGAAAATTATTTAAAATTGCCGCCACGCGCTGAAATGTGCGCATTAGGAAAAATGCCAAAATATGGGTCAGCTTACTTTTTGGTGGTGAACAAATTAAAATTAGTTCCATCAAGATCGGAGTTTTACACGAGTAACACCTACACACATTTTCAGACAACTTCCATTCCCACCTGGTTCTTGAGGCGACAGCCCTTGCACGAACAGTGACAATAGGTATGTATTTGTACATATGTATGTATGCATGCATTTAAATACATACATACATTATCCTTTGCATTCCATGAAATTGACATTGGAAAGTAATTTATGTATAATATGTTAACTCATTTTGCATAAAGGTAGGGCAGGTTAACGACTATTTTATTTATAGGTACATATGCATTTACAATAACAAACCGAACCTGCGAGTGGACAAATTAATCTACATAAATATCTGTATATGGGGTCAATTATTAGGTAAGAGAGTATCACTCCTCTTCACCTATACTATAATTGTATATTGCGCAATCATTTTTTGCAAAATCATCCCATCCAAATGGTTAGTTTTTATCCGATTAAAAGTCAGAAATCGATTATTTTCGGATAACTTACAAAAAACGCTACCAAATTTTTTTCATCCCTGTACATACTAACATACCTTTTCGAATATGCCAATCAAAATCCACCATTCGCTCCCATAATTTCACCCCAATCTCATCCGTATCCAGCAATACGATCAAGTTGCCCACGATGGACACGATACAGACGATTATACTGCCCACCCATGCCCAAAATCGGATATCCTGCAACAGGTCGACCTCCTTCCCCGCCAGATAATAGAGTGACATCGTGCACAACACTATTGTCCCGAGGAGGATCACGAGTGGAATGAATTTGTAATAGGAACGTTTCAGAGGCACCCATTCCACGTGAAGGATTCTCTTTTTGTACTGAAATTGATAAGACAGGCGGTACGGGAAAGGGTAGTGTTCAATGTAGAGTAACTGGACAAGTCTTGCCGCACCCAGTGGGGTCCCTAATCCGAGCGGGATTTGCATACCGAATTAACTTCAAGTAAATGCGTATATTTTGACCTATCACTTTTAGTGATACAATGAAACTCGGGACCTTTCTTCCTACACGGTGAGTGAACAATATTTGCAAGTTTTAGTTTATTGATCGTTAAACCTGCGTAATTTCTACATTATGTAATTTGCTAGAAATTATTCAGTTGACGTAAGTAAGCTGGTGAAAATAGCGGAAAATCCGGGAACTGATATTATGATTGCATATGCCGCCACCATCGTGACAATTTCCTTACTGTTCGGTATGGATGATACGTAACAGCTGATATTTTTATACCAGGAGATAAAATACATCCTGTATTTTAAATGTGTGAGATTAAATGCTATGTACCAGGCACCTTGCTAGCAGATTAATACCTATAGCGGTAGAGTCACGTATGCTTTAGTACCGGTCGATACCTAATTTTTAAGAGGGTAGAGTATAAATTCTTACGTATTGGCGTAGTAGTATTATAACCCAAATTAAATTATAAATTTTTAACTAGTCGAAAAATTTAATCTAATTCTCAGAATTTATTTACGCAAGATTATGGTTCCTAGTTTCAAATTACTTTCAAAGTAATCTAATTACATGTAACCATAATTCAACAAAGCAGAACTCGAGACGGAGACATGACGGGTATTGATTCCGATTGGATACAAACATAGGTCGCCGTACGAGATGAACCTAGTAAAAGTCTGGCATGGTTTTATTCCATGCCCACGGTGTGAAGTATGCATGCCCGACATTTTATGCATTAGCTGGATGAAATTTTTTGGAATAAGGAAATTTTTATTGGAAATGAGTAGAGTTGAATTATATCCAAATTAAGTTTAACCAGTCGATCCCTCCGATGAATCGATTCGGAAAATAAATTTGTATTTCAGGTCAAAAATAAATTGAGAACGTAGGAAAATTCACGAGAGGTACGTAATCTATGTATGTATGGCTTCTCCAGGAATAAATACATGCATAAATACACTGTTAGAAATACGGTATAGTCACGCAGGTATTGATTTCTTGGTATTAAATTTGGTATTAAAATTATACCGGGGAGTACAGAGTTGCTACCTCCATGGTAAAAGTTTAATACCGAGATATTACCAAACGGTATTATTAATTAGTACCACCTTGGTAGAGTCATACTGTTTGGTATTAATTTAATACCGGATTTCTAAGAGTGTAGTTGCGATAATGTCTGCATATTAAATACACTTACAAGGTGGGTTTACGATTTGGAGTATATGTACATACATATGTATGTATCTATGTATACATGTACCTGTATAATAATATTTATTTCCGGCGACTCCTTTGGAGTTAGCCATTTATGTACACTCTAAACAAAATTGTCATCGACGGTGTCAATATGTGACTCCACCGGGACGGTGTTAATTTTGTCACAAGGTGGTGACGAAATCTCACTGAGTGATAACAATTTCAACACTGAATGGTGAAGATTTGTAACCGCACCGTTAAAATTCCGTCACCACCTTGTGACAAAATTAACACCGTCCCGGTGGAGTCACATATTGACACCGTTGGTGTTAAACCGATCAAAATTTTACTTAGAGTGTACATAGAATTTTTTAGCTCGACTCAGAGCTTATGGAATCGTCATATCCGTCCATCCGACTAGACAACGATAACTCTCGTTAAACTAATCCTATCTACTTAATATTTGGTACACATGTGGTACATATGGGTCAAATGAGGCTGACTTCGAATATGGTAAAAATAGGGCACACTGGTTGAATGGGGGTCTTTAGGTGGGTGGGCTATTTTGCAAAAAAAATGAAAATAGATCTATTTAGAGAAATTTGGCATACATGTCGCAAGTGGGTTTTACATAAAAATTCTGACTTGTAATTGAAAAAAAAACATGCAGACATACCACACAGGGTTATCCAGTCTAGTTTTCCCGAAATAGTGTAAAGCTGAAATTTTGCACACACTGTGCAAATGGTTTGTAGAGAAAGATAGAAGAAATTGCAGATAATTTCATGCAGTGGTATCTATTGGGTCACCCACACCGGTTTTTAAAATGTTCAGAAAAGGGTGAAATTTGGCAGTAGGGTGACAGGCATCTGTATTTCAGGAATATTTTAGCTGGAATCGGGTGACCCACGCAACTTTTTCCAAATTAGTGTAGATGTGACTTACCTATTATTTTTTGCATATGTTCGACTGGGTTAACAACTGGGCCAATTTACCAAAATTCAGGAGAGGGGACGCAAAGAATCAAACCATACGTAATCGAACATACATACACACTGTAACTTTTATGTTGTGTAACAATGCATATGTAATTTACTTTGTAAAATACAACTACTATCTGCGATATACTTCTTTATGTACTTTCTTGATGCAACAATAAATAGTTAAAAAATATTTATTTAACGTTGACGTCAGAGTCAATGGGGCCCGATTCGAATTGAATCTCACCCTCCCTCCAATGTTAAGTAGTTAAATGGTCATGCGATTGTGAGTTTTACAACACAGAATTTCCAACCGTCACAAATTGTGACGGTTGGAAATACTATCCCTGTAGAGTTATGTAGAAATAGAGTTTTGCATCGACTTTCCATTACTTACTTTAACAATACGTGCATCGGTATCTGTACATGTTTATTTAGACAACAAAATAAAAGTTGTTCTTAATCTTGCCATGCTTTCGTTCGTATGGATCGAGTATGGTTTAAGGTGAATGTTACCCTTTTCCCAGTAACAGTGAAGAAGGAATCTATTTTTATCAAAAAGGTTGCTGTAAATACCGGTCGTATTTTGTACCTATTTTTTCCTGTACATTTGCCCATGTTACTCCTTATCGAACATACATACATACGAAGACGGCGAGGAAATAGTTTCTTGAGACTACTGCTTTTAATAATCAAATCCCGCCAATTATAACTAAATTTGGTTGGTAATTTATTAAAACTTGATTTAACTTTAACGTATAATTTATTGTAAATTTTCAGCCGTGTTATTATTTCCAGAATACATAGATCATTTTTACTTTGCCCTCACTTTACATACATATTTATAAAAATGGATTTGGATCATAACCGTGAAAATTCAAAACAGCCACATATTGCCATTTTGTTGCCAGAGGTAAATAATATTTACATATTTACATACAGTGGTGAGCAGAAATAATTATACGATTTAAAATTGCTTTAGCCCACTCATTAGACCGATTAACAATTTAAAATTTTGCAACCTAGTAGCCCAGAAACATTGAGGATGACTGCCGTTGTTGTTTTTAAAAAATTGTGAAAAGGTCAAGGGTCAAAATTTTTTTCCAAAAAGGTCATTTTTCAACTTCCACATAGATTTTTGTCTTCAGTGGTTTTGTTTTTTGGTGAATTGGGCTACTCATCCTGAACATTTCTATATCTTATACATCGCTGTACGATTTTTTGGAAGCAAGTTACGAATTTTCGAATAAGACGACTTCATGTTGTGTTTAACATTGCGTTTATGGCAAATTTTTCAAAAACCATTAAAATTCGTCTTATTCGAAAATTCATAACTTGCTTCAAAAAAATCGTACAGCAATGTATAAGATATAGAAATGTTCAGGATGAGTAGCCCAATTCACCAAAAAACAAAAACACTAAAGACAAAAATCTATATGGAAGTTGAAAAATGACCTTTTTGGAAAAACATTTTGACCCTTGACCTTTTCACAGTTTTTAAAAAACAAAAACGGCAGTCATCCTCAATGTTTCTGGGCTACTAGGTTCCAAAATTTTAAATTGTTATTTTGACTAATATGTAAGCTAGATCGATTTTAAATCGTATAATTATTTCTGCTCACCACTGTACATCCGTTTTTACATATGTTTATATCTTAAACAGTGTATGAAAATATATTTACACCTGCTAAAAATGCTGCAATTATGTTGGTATGTATGATGCTCAGATTTTAGAACACATTGTAACCTTCCTGCCGAAATCGGACCTTCTCGAGTGCACATTCGTCAACACCACGTGGGAGCAGGAAGCCCGGAAATATCTCCCTGGTGTCTATCGGGTCCTCCTCATCCCACCACACGTCTCTGATAACGGATATCAAAAAACAATTACGCTCAAAAATGCTTCCACTGAAAGGGAAGGTTTTGCAGATTTCATTGCCAAAAATGGACCCCACGTGAGAACCCTGGAGGCGATTATTTACCACCAAAATCCCGCGTGGAACAAATATTTATCAAAATTATTTCCCAACCTGTATTCTCTTAAACTTAATGTATCCTTTATTGAAAATAATGCATTGCATGAAATATTGCTTTCCGAAAGTAAGGAAGCTCGAAATCTCGTCGATCCACTGGCAGTCAAAATCACCAGAATTTAAAGACATGGTTGTCTCAATCGTCCCAAAATTAGTGGCCCTATTTCCCAATGTTGTTTCCCTTTCGAACCGGCGTTGTGATCAAATCGTGGTTGAAACCTTCCTCAAGTTCTCCCCGCAAAGGGTAAAATCTTTGAAATTCGTCAGCCTAGAATTTACGCGCGTCATGCAGGAAAACGTTTCATGCCTCACCCGGCTAGAAATAGATTACTATTTGGGTACCTGGCAGACTTACTCGGAACTCTTGAAACTTGCATCGGCAACTTTACAACACGTGAAATTCTTCAATGTGGCTAATTGGGATTATTCCTACGCCCGAACTTGGTTACCTCATAAAGCCATAGTTTTTCCAATTATGTCAAAACTAAGAGTTTTCGAACTTTCATTAAGTCCGTACACGAAGGGGAGCGAAATTAAACCTCTCCTCGTGACACTGGACATATTCCTGAAATTTGAAAAGGGTGATGCAATTGGGAGGTTGGATTACCAAGCTCAGTTCCCGTTCCTGGAAAAGATCAAGATTTCCAGGGAAACAACGTTTTATCATTTTAGAGAAGAAGTGACCGAGAAGAGATTAACCGAGTGGGAATATTTTGAGACGAGTGTGTCATTTATGTACCGGTATTTCCTCCACGATAGCAACTCACAGGGTATTAGGGTGAAATATTTGGACATCCCGTTTCCTCCTGGGGACAGTTTTCGGTTGACACCTGCTACGAAATGCAACTGCGGGAAGGCACGTGTTTTGTGTGAATGTGTTGAGATGAAGAGTTCCTCCGAATTTTGGGACCGAGTGGTGGAAATTTTCCCGAATTTGGAGAGATACGAGGTCATTAGGGAAGCGTGGGAGCGGGCAAAGGTGCGGCGAGTGACTGCGGCCAAAGTGGAGGCGATAGGATTATGCGAGTAAAATCGTATTCGTGTTGATGTTGGTGGTTTACAAAATGTAAAATGTTTGGGTTTTCTCTGCTTTCTTTCGTTTTGTTTTTCGTTGTACAGCTACATAATCGTGTACAGAGTTTCACACAAGGTTGTAACTTGTTTCGATTTTGTTTATCTAATTTATTTTCCCCAATTTTCGGAGTCTTATCCATCCGCCTACATACATGCATACACACGTGGCCAAATATTATACTCAATACTTTATTAACTACCCACATATGTGCATATAGGTAATCAAGCTCAATTATCTTGATAGACTTGTTTATCTGGTCACCACATTGGATTCGTGCAGCATGAAGAGCTAATTAACACCACATAATCCTTAGACGAAATAAAACAAATATTGTTTTGCTGAGGCGTATCTATGCTAAAATCTTGTACTGTGCACGAGCTTCATTATATTTTATAACCAGTGGCAAACAAACCGCTGAAATTATCGCAATCGAAGCGAGTCTGGTTTTATCCCTACGACAAAATGGTTTACTCGGAATTTCTCCCCATGCTCAAAAGGAATCTTGAATTTTGCCAACTTTTGAAATGCGTTCCATTCGTGTTTGACTCAAAAATCGATCGATTAGTTAAAGCCAAGCGTGTCGGACATGTTGTCATGTTTCGGTTGCAATGTTTCCTCTCAGTTCTGTACATAAGCGCGCTATTCTTGAACCTCTGCTTCGGTCGGCTCACAACAACGGAAAAATTTCAAGGTTTAACGTTTTTTATGGTTTACTTTGCCGCGACGTGGATAAAATTTAATTATTCTTTGGACATGGCGGCGATTGAAGTAATTCATGCATTCTTGGATTTTGAGGAGTGTATCGTTCGTGGTAAGATTTTTATGGTATGCATGATGTGGATATACTTAATGTGAATGTGGATTAATTTTGCCAAGAAACAGATTCACCAAAATTTCCACTTTCTTTCGGCGCCAAAATTATGAAGCTATTCATTCAACTTGCGGAAGTTTCTGGGTTCTCGTTTGTAATCCTTCAGCTGATATTGTTGCAATGCGTCCCTTGCACGTCGCCCTTTATCTTCTCAATGTTTCCCAACTGTGAAGAAATGGCGGACAAAACATGCTGGTTGTTGAAATTGGCTGTGCACATTTTCGAAACTTGGATGTGTCTCCAGATGTTTTTCGGTTGCAAAGTGTACATATTTTATCTTCTCTGCGCAGGCATAATCTGCATTTCGTTATATTTACGGATTATTGAAAAGTAAGCATGCATTTCCAATCGAAATACAAAATAAATACATTGAATAAATACAATTCCACGTGAAAATCCTCAAATTTTTGTTAATAAGTTCATAAATGCAGCAAAATTAAATTAAATTTATATGAATGTACACATAGTTCTGTATTAAAACAAGTGCTGAAGTTTGTTACTTTAATAATCAACATTTTCTTATTGTTACAGCAAAACTGCTACCATGCAAAGTGAACAAGACGCAGAGAAATGCATCAAATTTTACCGCTGCATCCAAATGTTGGAGAAATTTTTTAGCGCTTATCCAATGAGCAGGGTCGTCCCCGTCATGGTATTTGGCATACTGAGCATGGAAATAATCAGCCTATTTGTTTCTATCAATTTTTACGATAAAATCGCCATGCCGGGTTTCCTACTATTTCCACTACTCGGATTAAACACGCCGCTTAACAATATTTGTCTCCTTACGTTGGCCTCGCTTGTGCACAACTCATCCGGAAAGATTCTGGCAGTTCTGGAAAAGAAGGTGATGGAAATGACGTGTCATCGTGGGCGAAATAAGTCGATAATTTATCGACAACTGAGAGCCTGTTCAGTCCTGAAGGTGAAATTTTGGTCGAATTATATCGACCGGGGGACGCCGCTGGTAATACAAAACTTTTGTATTAATCAAACCATGTCACTTACGTTGGTCGAGGCAAATAAGATGCATGGATAAGAGAGTGGATAGGAAAACAATCAAGGAATTGCAATATACGTAAGCTCTTTGGAGGATTTTGGCGCAGCCGAGTTCATTTTTTTTAATATACCAGGGAATTTAATTTTATTCAGAATTACGTTATTTGGATTTGTGTTCAATTAAAATATACATACACATGTAGATGCTTGTTTATTCTTTATAGTATTAGGGAACAGAATCTAACATATCAAACGGATCAATATGTTGGTAGTTAGGGATGGACCCTGTACCGAAAATGGGTAAATAAGTAGTTGTAATTTTATCAAAGCAACATAAAAAATAAACGTAACAACAAACATACTTAAATATAATGTGCACCTAAACGTGTCTTAACCTAACCAAACCTATACATCTCTTTTATAGACTGTTTTGTTTTGTTTTACATTGTTTTACTAAATTTGTTTCGATAGGAGCGACGATATATCAGACAAAAATATGAACCAAATGTTGGTACTAATCAAAATTCGAATAAATAGGATACCTCAGGTTCACATCAATTTACATTTGTCATCAGTTAATGGAAAAATTGTAAGTGATCGACATACGTATCGACATACGTACGTATATTTCTGAGCAAATTACGAGGGTATAGATCAGAGCTCAACGCCGCCGATTCTACGCCGCCGCGCAGCCAAACGCCGGCACAATTTTAGGCGCCGCCGCCGCCGAAAAATTGGTCGGCGTTGACCTCCGGTGTAGATGCATATTTCCTATAAAGAAATTTAACTTTCCCATGCAAATTAAATTTACCAATTTGTTCAAATCGTAATTGAGATCAAAGCGGTAATTGTGTAGTAAACCATCACCGAAAGATACGTTGTTTGCGTGGATTTCTTACAAATATAAAAGTTATTGTGCATCAGTCCTCCATAAATCCCGATGTGTCGCGTGGCCCTTATTTTCCGTAGGACATACCCTTTAAGTTTGCACAGTAGTAATAAATATTGCCATCTGCGCCGCAACTCTTTTGTCCTTTCAAAAATTGCAATCATTAGTGGCATCATTATCATTGCAATGATCGGAAGCAGTACTCCAAACGTAGGAAAAACCAAATAAAGTGGTAAATGAATGACGCGATGCATTTTTAAGGCGACAAAATTACATTGAACGGTGCCAATAATTCCGATCAGCATGACCAATGCGACCATGGGTGTGGTAAAGTGGGACGACGAAATTACTGTAATTTCTAATGCTCTAAAACCAACGAAATATTGATCTATGGCTATTCGACCCCATATAGTCAGGCGGATGGATTTATTTTGTAAGAAAGTAACACAGCTGATTAGGAGGTGCAAGGCCAATGTCATGAAGCAGATTAGCCACGAAAACAACCGCGCCATTTCATAACAAGTCGCCAGTGACGATATTCGTAGCGGGATTGCGACCAAGTTTAAAAATTGTGACCAATTCTTCTCGCCAATTAGATAATTCCGTAGGGACATGGCGGGGTCTAACTCTAAATAAAGACAGCATGGGCCAACAATTACGGGAAGGAAGAGGTACGAGACCACCACTACATTTAGGGTAAATCCCACAATGTCAAAGTGTAATGTATTCTCGCGTGGGAATCCTCCTGCGAAAAGTTGCTCATCAAAATTTGAAATAAATTGGCGGGTCTTTAAATATATACATGTGTAGATATTCAAAGTTACGTAGAATTTGCCTGGTTTCAGCGCAAACGCAAATAAAACTTACCCAGTTGTGTGGCCAAATTTTCAATCCGGTTGAAGAACAGTGCAATACTGTTCGCATTTTGAACAACGACCGAGTTTACGGTGATAATTGAACCTGCCGTGGTGAGGAAAAGGGATGAAATAATAATCACTTTAAACGGGTAGTCGGCCAGGTCAAATATTTGCGAGAGCAGGATCCCAACGCAGGCAACCCCGGTGAATAGCGAAGACATCATCATTATGAAGAAGGGGATCATGGTTTTCCACGTTTTGTTGCAGATTGCTGTCCTATTGGCAGCACTCCACCCAACGGGATATTTTCCTAGGTAGGAGGGAAAGGTTTTCACCCAGGTGCCCAGAGATTTCCACATTAACGATGTGACCACCATGGTGAACAATTCGTTACTGCGGTAAAGGGGTTGCCGACCTGATGCAAGCTGTTCCTTTGTTGCAATCCTAATTGATATTTGATAGAAATTAAATTAAGATCTTTATCATTAAATTGAAATTGGATAGGGTTTGACATCAAGTATCAAAGCAGACAGACTTTGCATAGTCCAAGATGTGGGCTGCTTTCAAATCCGAATATGTACATATGTATAAAATTTTGTGAGTTGGTTTTATTGTTTGCAGTTTTGTAAATGAAGGTTATGTTAACATTGTCTTTTAATTTCGTAAGAATTAAATTGGTTACGTTAAAGATAAGATATCTAAGCAATATAAAAATATTAATATGATTTTATGACATGTAGCACAACAGTGTGGTTTGTTCCGAAAGAAATTGCGTGCAGATGAGAATTTGACTCTTAATCAAATTTGAATCATATTAAACGTAATAATACTTGTTTCCATAGAGACTATAGATTGCTAGATAAGTCCGGGTCTGAGACTATTGGAGTGCAATGCATCGGTATTACGTATCGACATTCCGGATACCACAAGCCAGCAAATGGTCTACATAAAAGAAAACATTAAAAACTAAGGCTTATCATTTATATTGTCTGCAATTTATTAACTCACTTATTTCTGAAGCAGTAAGAATCCAATTTAGAATATTGAAATCAATATTACCACATTTGTCATGGTTTGATACAATCAAAACAAAAATTGATATTAACGTATTATTTTTGCTATAATCAAGATTCCCTTAAAACTTGTTGCAGTTTTTCTTGTATATTTTCACGGACATGGCACCAAGACGACGTTCCCATTCCACAATTAAATCCATGAACACAGAAGCTGACACAAGTCTTAGACGTGGTCACGATTACATAAGTTTTGATCAAAACTTACCGACGTAATGTCATATTCACTAACAATGCAATGCTATGTATGTACAAGCGGTAACGCTCCGATTTTATTCGGACCACTTTTAATTTGAAGCTTATCCAAAACTATTGGGCTTCGGGATTTTTATAATGCTAAACTTTAAGGCGATGGAAGTGGTTTGAATGCGCTGAAAATTTGAAATTTTCAGGAAAATTTTTGGGAAATTTTCATATTTTATCTAAGGTTTGTGTGTATGTGCTAAAGATTTGTACGCCGAATAAATCCCGTAAAATAATAACACTATACGCGTCTTGCCATCACCTCCTCTTTGACCTAGGTATGACTTCGTTTATAAAATTTCAAATTTAAACTTATATACTGATTTGCCTTGATGTCCACCGCAATGGTCAATTTGCGCAATTCCCATTAGAAAATATCCCCACATATGTATGGTAACTGACGGTGTCCAACTCCAATTATGTCAAAGTGCGACAACAATCCTATTTTTGCCAGCATACGTAAAGGATTTTCGGGGGCGGCCAACCTGTCCCAAGAATTTCAAAATTCTCCCCGCCATGTGTGTACTATTTCGATGGTGAGAGGAATTTTTTTCAAACGAAGCTCTTTGTTTGTGCAAAAGCAAATTGTTCCCCAAGACCAAAACCACTTTGACGGAGCACTTTACCAGGAATTTCACCATTGATTTGGAATTTTGTTATGATGAGATCATCATGACAGGACGTGGATCTCCATAAGAGGAAAGACGCGTCTCAAAATGACTTTACGAATAGGGTTCCCATTTCGATACATTTTTAAAATGTATCTCTCCGTCACCCGTAATATTAATGGCGAAAAAGAACACTGGCGTAAATATTTGCACCCAATTTCTTAATTAAATCAATCCTTTTATAAAATATGTAGATACATATGTATGTACATGTGTTCATAAATACAGATGTACATATGTACATACATACGTACATCTGTAATGCTGTGTGTAGGTACATACATATATCGACGTCAACAAAGACGATTGTCATGTAATGCTGTATGTACATACCTACATATGATAACCTATCCCGTCCAGATTTGTGGTAATCCATACATAAATACATTCCTCCTCTGTTTCTAATATTTTCCTAGCCCGTGGATTGAAATAAATTCGTATGAATTTCCATGTTGCATAAACCATGCAGCCTCGTAGTCAAACTTGAACACACATTCTAACCTAAAATAAAATATACTCAAATCGAATACAAAATCTAACACATACTTTTAGCGTTAAAAGTAAAATTTTAAATAAAAAACTGCGACCTAAATTTTCACACTGTGTTTTACCCAAACTTTTAATGCTCAATGTAAACGTGCATACATATATGTACATAAAACATATATATATATATACTGCATATATTTATTACCTACATATGTGCATACATATTATGTATCTTATTTATGGACATATGTATGCATGTATGCAG